TCTGATGGGGGACCCTCTCTACGGGGGATGACCATAGACTGTCCCCTTGTGGTTCTCTTCCTTGATATCCTTCGATCAAGTCTTTTCATAAGAATKTTTGCATCTTGACTCCTCCATGTAAGTCTTTYATGGATCAAAATTTTTGGTTTCTTTATCGGCTGCTCTCCTTCACTGTCACTGCTATGGGGAGACTCAGATGATTCTGACACAGACTCATCAGAGGAAATGAARTCATTTGCTATGATAGGCCTCATCATCTTCTTGTCTTCATYTGTTAATGAGGTAGACTCATTTAAGGCCTGGAGTCGACGGAGCCGTTTCTAAGAAATTAATTTTGAATATTAGATCATCTACATTTATTATATAAAGTTCATATATTAATATATAAAACATTTTCAATTGCTCTCTTACATAATAAGTCATATCAAAACATTCTATTGTTTTAACACCAAGGAGTACAAGGGAAACACTTGGTACATGAGGAATCAAAGATGTTGTGAAATCATTATAATGACAAAGAGCAATTATTAACATCTCACTTGTTTGAACTRTTACTTACTGTATTCATGCGGCTTCTTTTCCTCTGATGTTTAAGGTAGGTCTCTGTCTCCTTTTTGYTTAGTGACCACTTTCTTCTTTTGGTTTTAAAATGCGTTCTTATTGCATCTGAAGATTACAAGGATACAGTAAGAGTTGTTRAATAGCTAAAAGATTAGAATTATAACTTGTCCTGCTTAAATTTATTCATTATTAAGTTACAATGGTATTAATATATACCTCTTATTAGAGCAGGAGTATACTGTGAAGTGCTGGCCACTCCTCTTGATATTGAAATGTTGACACTTTCATTTTCTTTTGAGGCAAAGCTATCAGGAAACAAAATAAGTTAACATAAAGATATGAATAATCACAACTGAGAACCGACAATTATTTACATCTATTTTTCTTGTCTAGAATATCATGATATCACTTTTGGAGTATTTTACAGCTGTGTTACCTTTTTTGAAAATCCCACAGTGGAATATCCTCTCCATTACTAGCATCAAGCTCCATGTCCGTGTATACTGCTCTCACATTTTCCTGTAATTGGACCAAAAAGTTTAGAAATTAAAAGCTGTTAAGATTTGTAGTGTTTTTCATCTAAAAATATTAAACCATTGCGTTATCTTCTTTGTAAAAAAGAGCGGGAAACTAAAACAAACACCGCAAGCACAATGGCAAACGTCCATGGCCGATTAATCGTCAAAAATACGAGCATTTAACTTACCGTTAGCTTTAAAGGCAATGGCTCCCTTTTTCGACTTTTAACTCCAGAACAAGACGGGTCTTGCTCGGTTAACAGTGCTAACAGCCGCTCGTTAAAAGCCGTTTGCTCTTACATAAAAGTCTCGAGGGTTTGTTGCTCAGAACCTTGATCAGATACGTTTGTTTGTGGGGTTTCACTTGATCTGGTTTCTGAGCCGCTTGAAGCAACAGCGTCTGGCACTAGTGAAGATGTCGAGGAAGCTGATCCAGGCGTTATGGGGATCGGTAATCTCCTACAGCAAGAAGTGTTATTGCTTTGAACTGGGGTCGCCATTACCGATACCGCGCTCGTACTTCTGTCTTCATTGTCGGTAGAAGCCACCTGATTCGACGAATTAGGCGAAGAAGAATTTGAAAATGACGAACGGCTGTCATCGTTCACTTTTGGTCATCTTCTAACTGCTCTTCTGCCAGCCATCTTATATACTTGCCAATAGAAATCTCAAACACACTATCAGCTTCGAAGTTCAACGCAAAGAGAATGAATATGTGATGTAGCCACAGTTTGAATTTACCTCTGTTTACATATCCTCACGTGTTGTCACC